ATCGCTTTGTCCCAACTCGTATTAAGAAAACACGTAAACAAAATCCCTGGATAACACCCAGCATTATACATAAGTAACGGCGAATTAAGAGATTAAGGAAAAGTAAAAAAAAAGAGCGACGGAAGTTGCAGCCATAAAAATCAAGTTGAAAGAAGCCCTTGTGAATTCTAAAAATAAGTTCTTTGGCCCAATTCCCAATTCTGGCGTTACATCAGTGACAGATGAAAAGAATTGAGAAGATCGAACATGAGGGTTGCATCCTGACAAAAGTTGAAGACTTAGCAGATACTTTTATTCGCTTCTTTCAGTCAGTTTTCACAATAGACCAGGGTGATAAGATAGGCGCATCCATCAGTAACAGTGCAACAACCGCAGTGGAACCTGTTATTATAAACCGCGAAGGTGTTTTCCAGTTACTGCTTGAGCTAGATGGGAAGAAAGGAAGTAGTTCGGATAACCTACCAAGAGAGTTTCTCAAGAGATACGCAGAATTGGTCTCGTTTTATTAGGAATAATATTTGTGAAATTGTTTGAGACGCGATCACTTCCACAAGAATGGCGCAATCCAGTTGTAATTCCGATTTTTAAAAACGGTAACCGTTCGGTTATAAACAATTACCGGCCCGTATCCTTGACGTCGGTTTGCTGTGAAGTTCTAAAACATGTATTAGCAAAACATATTCTTAGTTTTCTTGATTCTAACCAGTTACTTTGCACAAGCCAACATGTGTTTCGGCATGGTCTTTCTACTGTGACACAATTAGCTGAAACGCTCCATGATTTCAATAAAAATGGCGATACCCTTCTGCAGACTGATGTAATTTGTGTGGATTTTAGGAAAGCCTTTGATAAGGTCTCTCATCGTAAATTACTTTTCAAGCTTGAAAGATCAGGAATAAGCGAAGAAGTATTAAAATGAATAGAGGCCTATTTATCCGCACGTCAACAGGCTGTAAAAATTAAAACTTCCACTTCAAGACCAGTGGCCGTGTACTCGGGCGTTCCCCAAGGATCTGTTTTAGGACCAATTCTTTTTGTGATATTTGTTCATGATCAATGCTCAATAGTTGAGGCTCCAATTAAAATGAAACTTTTTGCAGATGACTGCTTGATTTATTCCCCAGTTACTTACAAAGGTGACCAAATTAATCTAAACAGGTGCTTACAGGCACCTGTTACAGGATCAGTGGTGTATAATATGGGACATGGAAATAAACCATAGCAAGACGACATTTGCACATATTCACTCTTGTGGGCGGGAAATGTCATTCGTGTATCACATCGGAAGTCACCCTTTAAATAATGCCGATTGTTTCAAATACCTAGGAGTTAGTATTATGCACACACTGAAATGGCACATGCATATCGATAACATCTGTTCTAAGGCAAACAAAAAACTGTATTTCTTTAAAAAAAACCGAAACATGCCACACCAGATGTAAAACTAACTGCTTACAAAACATTCATACGTCATGTCTAAGAGTTCGCTAGTATCGTATGGTCGCCTCACCAGAAGGTGTTGTGGGCGAAAATTGAAAGAGTACAAAAATTAGCAGTCTGTTTCATATGCGGTAGATAACGACGCACACACTCAGTCACAGCTTTGTTAAAGTCCAGTGAGCTTGAGTCTTTGGGATATCGCCGGCGAAAACATCGCCTCAAATTTCTTTTTAGGATTATAAGTGGCAAACAAAGATAAATAAAGATTTATATATTCAGCGCCCTGGAAGGCGATGTGATCGTCTTAATAATAGTAGAGCAATTCAACCTTATTTCACACGCACGAATGTTTTCCGCCACTCTTTTTTCCCAGACGCAATATATATGTGGAATAGTTTACCCAATGCGGTTGTGCAACAAACAACATAAGTCGATTTTGAAAATGCATTGGACGGTTTTCTTTGTAGTGATGCGTGCTAAATTTCGTTGTCAGCATTTACTTTTGATTTTTATGTGTGTAGTCACTGTTATTTGTTTCTTATTTTTTATTGTTGGTAATCCATCTCGTATTTATATGTGCTTTTGAGTTTTTCTTTTTTGTGCCAACGTTAAGTACTTTCTGACACCCTCCCTGCAATGACCCCAGGCACGGGGTTGACAGTATAAACTAAATAAATAAAATAAATAAAATGAAATAACCAGCTTTACTTCAGCCATGGAACATCGCTTTTGCGGGGTCGTAGAAGCATCATGTACAGCGACATCTGCAGTTCAACACAGCCTGCGCTGCAGGCTGATATTTCGTAGAAAAAGGACGCTAAATGAAGCATTGGCATTGACCTTGAACCTGATGCCAAGCGCGGTGCCTCGAGACGCAAATGGGCTATTTACGGCAGCACAACAATCGAAATTTGCAAAGACTATCCTGCCACTTCGCCATATATTACTTTCAGTCGGAGTTGTCGTAGTTTCAGCTTGTGCAGTCTAGGTATAGCAGACTAAATAAATTCACTGGCGAAAGTTTCGTAAAATATTCAGGTTAGAAATGACCTTTGTAAATGTGATCACTAATTAGTGCGGTGGTTTGGTTTTGTGAAATTGTAAAAAAATGCTTAATAATAAATTTTACGGTAATTGTGGCATACTGTTTTTAATGCAATAATAGCCACTGCGCAGAAACATCGCCTCAGAGATGTTCATTCCTCTTTCATTACTCCAAGGCAACGGTGACGGAGCACGTTATTTGAACAACATTGATGACACCCTTGACAGACTACAACATGCGGAATTCTTTGCCTCTCTAGACATCTAGGGCGGATACAGACAGATAGAGTTGGATGAACGAGATCACGAGAAATTGGCAGGTACCACGTACAGTGAAAATCGATCATACGCGAAGCACGAATTGGGAACGTTCATATGCCTATAATATTTGAACCTAAAATGTTTAAATGTGTCATTTACCTTCGTCGTCTATTCATTTCACGTAAAGCCAAACTTGGTATATGTAATACTCGTTGTTGGGCTAGTTGGTGCATTGCTTCAGATGAAAAACTTCCGGCCAATAAAATAACGCACACAGGAAACGAAGAAGGAGACAGGAAAGAGGCCAGACTACCAACTGTTTATTCACATATGCGTGGCTCAAGTATATATACTCATACGGTCACATGGTGAAGCTAAGTGCTCTTTAAAAAATAACCAAAAATTGCCCAAAGTAATAAACTGACTCATAATCATTCAAAGCTTTTTTCGCTCTACTAATCGCTACAGATTACAAACAAGATTCTAGGAACGTGTTTTCCTTCCTGCGCAGTGTCACGGAGCTATCGCTGCAGCATGCTTCACCACTCTTTGCAATATGAAAAGCTTCCAAAATTTCCCGTGCCAATTTTTCATGGCTTTTGCCTAAAATCTTGATTTCGTTCAGCAGTGGCTTACAATTGCACTGTTTACAATGAAGGGCTAGATTGGAGCCTGTGCCTTTCTCAAGTGATTTGAAATGTTCCCAGGCCCTAAAATTCACACAACGCCCTGTTTGGCCTATGTATAACATCCCGCACGTCAATGGAATTGCATACACCACGCCAACAACACACTTCACAAAAACCTTCCCATGCTTCGCCTCACACTGAAACTTCTTCTTTTTCCCGATGCGTGCACACAAACCACCCAATTTCCTTGGTGCGGAAAATACCACGGACACTCCAAACCTGAACGCCACTTTTTTCAAGCCATGCGCTACACGGTGCGTATAGGGCAACACCTGTGGTATCCTCTGCTCTGGACCTGTCTGTTTGGTTTTCTTTTTTCCTTTCATTTTTTGTAGTAACGTTTCAGCAACAGCTGACAAAACAGAACTGGGAAAGCCAGCGTTTTTTAGTCTCTCTATCTGGGCGGTGAAGCTCGTCTCAAGCATGTGCTCACATGACTTTGTCAGGGCAGATTCAAGGCAAAGAGAACCGATGGCCCTCTTTACCGTTTTAGAGTGTGAAGAGTTATACGGTAACAGCTCTTTCTTTGCTCTTGGCGAATACATCCAACACACGTTTCCATCACAACATCTAATGTTTATGTCTAAAAATTGGAGGCTATTGTTCAGCGGCACCTCATGCGTAAAACTCAGGCCTTTCCCTAGGTTTTTAAAATAGCATAATACGCTTTGTACGGTGTTGTCATAAGTCAGATTAAAATCAGCTGCTAAAACTACCAAAAAGTCATCCACGTATCTAAAAATTTGCAGGACAGTGCCTTTGTCAAACGTGGATTCTAAATCCCGGTCAATGGAAGATAAAAAAATATTACACAGCACAGGGGCAACGCAAGATCCAATGCATATCCCTTTCTTTTGAACAAACAAGCCTGAGTCAAAGGAAACAACCGTCGCCCGAAGGTAAAACTCGAGGAGCGACATAAACTTGTCCACACTAATGCCCACAGAATTCTGAAATGCAACAGTTCCATTACACTCAATGCACTCTCGGACAGAGTTAAACAGCTCTGTATGCGGTACAGAGTAGAACAAATCCTCGACATCAATAGAAAATAAAAAACCTATTTCCTTCTGCTTCTTTTTTAGAAAAGCAATGACATCTGTCGAATTCTTTGTTAAGAATGGGTCCCGCAACTCGAGCCCCCGCAAGTGGTCAAATAAAAAAGAGCTAACTTGTTGTAACCAAGTACCGCGTTCACTGACGATACACCTGAATGGCATGTGTGGCTTGTGTGTCTTCACCACGAAGAATACGTCCAGAGTTCCTTTCTTGCATTTCCTGATGTCACTGGCTAACCTAGGAAGCTGCATCCCGTTGCACATAGCTATCGCTTTAGTCTTCACTCTGCAAGTTTTGCTGCTCACCTGTACAAAGTTCTTCGATAAAGCTTCAGTGGCCTTTTCCTTGTACATTGTCGCAGACATCACCACGAATCCGCCTTCTTTATCTCCTTGTAGTAGTCGAAGGTTGTTCCTTTCAAAGTAGGAGACGACATGCCGTGTGCTGTCTTTTGGTAGAAGTTTTGGTAGTTTTGGAATCCTTCCGTTCTTGCCGAGGAAGGCTAGAAAGGCGACCACGAAACCTTGCAGTCTTGTTCTCCTGGACGGAGCGTCTGTTCCCGAGGGTGTTGCTGCCGTTTTGCAGAAAGGCCCGAAGTACAGCGTGCCGCCTACGATCCAAGCGCACGATCTACTCGCGTTAAACAGGAAGTTGGCTTATAAAGCTGGAGATGACAGTGAGCGGTGTCTGTTGGACGGTGTTGACAGCATCATGAAAACTGCGCGGAAAAGGGACCTTCTACCAAAAGACAGCACACGGCATGTCGTCTCCTACTTTGAAAGGAACAACCTTCGACTACTACAAGGAGATAAAGAAGGCGGATTCGTGGTGATGTCTGCGACAATGTACAAGGAAAAGGCCACTGAAGCTTTATCGAAGAACTTTGTACAGGTGAGCAGCAAAACTTGCAGAGTGAAGACTAAAGCGATAGCTATGTGCAACGGGATGCAGCTTCCTAGGTTAGCCAGTGACATCAGGAAATGCAAGAAAGGAACTCTGGACGTATTCTTCGTGGTGAAGACACACAAGCCACACATGCCATTCAGGTGTATCGTCAGTGAACGCGGTACTTGGTTACAACAAGTTAGCTCTTTTTTATTTGACCACTTGCGGGGGCTCGAGTTGCGGGACCCATTCTTAACAAAGAATTCGACAGATGTCATTGCTTTTCTAAAAAAGAAGCAGAAGGAAATAGGTTTTTTATTTTCTATTGATGTCGAGGATTTGTTCTACTCTGTACCGCATACAGAGCTGTTTAAGTCTGTCCGAGAGTGCATTGAGTGTAATGGAACTGTTGCATTTCAGAATTCTGTGGGCATTAGTGTGGACAAGTTTATGTCGCTCCTCGAGTTTTACCTTCGGGCGACGGTTGTTTCCTTTGACTCAGGCTTGTTTGTTCAAAAGAAAGGGATATGCATTGGATCTTGCGTTGCCCCTGTGCTGTGTAATATTTTTTTATCTTCCATTGACCGGGATTTAGAATCCACGTTTGACAAAGGCACTGTCCTGCAAATTTTTAGATACGTGGATGACTTTTTGGTAGTTTTAGCAGCTGATTTTAATCTGACTTATGACAACACCGTACAAAGCGTATTATGCTATTTTAAAAACCTAGGGAAAGGCCTGAGTTTTACGCATGAGGTGCCGCTGAACAATAGCCTCCAATTTTTAGACATAAACATTAGATGTTGTGATGGAAACGTGTGTTGGATGTATTCGCCAAGAGCAAAGAAAGAGCTGTTACCGTATAACTCTTCACACTCTAAAACGGTAAAGAGGGCCATCGGTTCTCTTTGCCTTGAATCTGCCCTGACAAAGTCATGTGAGCACATGCTTGAGACGAGCTTCACCGCCCAGATAGAGAGACTAAAAAACGCTGGCTTTCCCAGTTCTGTTTTGTCAGCTGTTGCTGAAACGTTACTACAAAAAATGAAAGGAAAAAAGAAAACCAAACAGACAGGTCCAGAGCAGAGGATACCACAGGTGTTGCCCTATACGCACCGTGTAGCGCATGGCTTGAAAAAAGTGGCGTTCAGGTTTGGAGTGTCCGTGGTATTTTCCGCACCAAGGAAATTGGGTGGTTTGTGTGCACGCATCGGGAAAAAGAAGAAGTTTCAGTGTGAGGCGAAGCATGGGAAGGTTTTTGTGAAGTGTGTTGTTGGCGTGGTGTATGCAATTCCATTGACGTGCGGGATGTTATACATAGGCCAAACAGGGCGTTGTGTGAATTTTAGGGCCTGGGAACATTTCAAATCACTTGAGAAAGGCACAGGCTCCAATCTAGCCCTTCATTGTAAACAGTGCAATTGTAAGCCACTGCTGAACGAAATCAAGATTTTAGGCAAAAGCCATGAAAAATTGGCACGGGAAATTTTGGAAGCTTTTCATATTGCAAAGAGTGGTGAAGCATGCTGCAGCGATAGCTCCGTGACACTGCGCAGGAAGGAAAACACGTTCCTAGAATCTTGTTTGTAATCTGTAGCGATTAGTAGAGCGAAAAAAGCTTTGAATGATTATGAGTCAGTTTATTACTTTGGGCAATTTTTGGTTATTTTTTAAAGAGCACTTAGCTTCACCATGTGACCGTATGAGTATATATACTTGAGCCACGCATATGTGAATAAACAGTTGGTAGTCTGGCCTCTTTCCTGTCTCCTTCTTCGTTTCCTGTGTGCGTTATTTTATTGGCCGGAAGTTTTTCATCTGAAAAAAAAAAAAAAATTGGTATATGTAAAGCTACCTAAATGGCCACGAGCGCATCATGAGCGTGGCTTGTAGTCAGTTTCCTACGAAACGCATCTCATGATCATCATGCATGCACCAGTCATATATCTTCTTCATTTATTTAGGTCCCGTACTACCATATTTGGTAGATCTGAAGCTAGCGAAACAGCCGCGACGCATCATGAGTGTGGCATGTAGTTATGTTCTTCAATGACACGCATTTGACGGTTATCATGTGTGCACTAGTCATATACCTTCGTCATTTATTGTCGCGAAGTAATACGCAATTTAGTACACTTGAAGTTCGCTAAACGGCCGCGAGCGCATCATGAGCGTGGCATGTAGTCATCTTGTTTCATGACAGCCATCTCATGATTGTCTAGACTACTCACATACCTTGGTCTTCTATTCACGTCCTGCAATACCGAATTTGGTATATTTGAAGCTGGCGAAACGGCCGAGAGTGCATCATGGTTGTGACATGACACGTATTACGTGATAATCATGTTTCGACGTGTCATTTACCTTTGTCAACCGTTCGCGTAACATTATACCAAATTTGGTATATGTGAAGCCAGCGAAATGACCACGAGCTCATCATGAGCGTGGCATGTAGTCACGTTACATGACACGCATCTCATGACTATCATGTTTGCACCAGTCACCTACATTCGTCATCCACTCACGTCCTGTAGTACCGTATTTTGTATATGTGAAGCTAGCGGAATGGCCGTGAGCGTATCATAAGAGTAGCATGTAGTCATGATGTTACATGGCGTGTCATGTCATGCATGTCATAATTTCCACATTAGGGTTGTGACTTGTGTTCGCCATGCAGTCATGTGATACTACAACAGTTTTGCAACACGTCATGTGAAGGAGACCACCGCAAAACCAGCAAAATCATGAGATGTAAATTATTACACTTACTAAATTGATATCATGATTTTCGTCATATGACTTGTCACTATTGTTCGTCATACAGTTATGTTATGCCAAGCCAATTTCGAGATTGATACCATTATCGAAACAGCCAGGAAAGCTAAAAGTTGTAGGCGGCTAGACAGATAGGTGATACATACGCGCAAAGTTGCTGAAGTTCGCTAAAAAATCCTTGGCATTTAAAAAACTACTTTCATCACCCCAGATGATCCACTAGAGGGTCGAAGGAACAGAACGTGCGTTGCGCCGGCTCCGTGATATGGCCATTTTTTTTTCGCGCGGAAAAGACAACGGCCGGCTGATAAAGTGCTGTGTGTGTTTCCAGATGTGCTCAGGATCCTGTGACCACCATTCTCAAGACTGTGTGTGAATTGTAAAGGATTTTATCGTGCCTTTTGTGTTCAACCACGTCGTGCTCCTCGCCAACTGTACAGTTTGGCCTAGCGCCGAGGCGGCCGGAACGGCGTCCGAGGGCTCCATCTAGGCGTCGGCTTGTAGAGCGTCTGCGGAGGCAATATGACAATGGAAGTGACTGTTAACGGTACAGATGCTAATCTAGCAGAATTTCAAAAGCTTGGACTGGGTGACGAAAGTGCCAAAACGTGTGGCGGAGCTCCAAGGGAATCAACAGCGAAAACACGACGGCGCCACCGAGGCGGCCTGTACCCGCGGTAAGATGTGGAAAAGAAGGCAGGACGGGGCCAGCCTGCTACAACGGCGACAATCATGGCTTAAGTGAAAGACCCTCACGTAAAGCGAGGGGAAAAAAGCATGCGGAGTGGTCAGTAGCGCAGCTACCGCGTCTTCCGAGCGCGGATGATGTTATCTATCTTTAAACTGATTAGCTAGTTCGAAATAGTTGAGGTCTACACACGATTAAGGGTATAATAAAAAAAACTGTATTACACGCACACGTACAATGTAACACACGCCTTCTTTGATCAATTTCAATGTTCAGACTACCCCACCCAACGAAGTTCCCTCTTTGGGGGGAGAGCAGTGCACTCTTTCCTGTCTGTGTCCGCACTCCATGGTGAGTCTGGCTCTCGTATGCCAACGGTTTTGTTTTCGTTCGCAGTTCCGACCTCTGGGAGAAACCGACTTTTGTGGATTGTTATATCGTTTGACTTTTGGAGCACTCCTAGTTTATTACATCCTCCCCCCGAAAATGAGCCTTGTTCATTTTACATGTGTCTCCAAAGGGTAGAGGAGTTGTACCGGATGTCACAGAGTTTTTCCAGTGGGCAATTTACGGCGCAAGAACTCACTGCTCCGTCACGGCCTTTCAAAACTTCAACGATTCTTCTTGTTTTTTTTAATTTACAAATGAGGCTTTGTATGGTCCTCATGTACAGTCACAATGTCATCTACCATGAAAAAATTGTCCTGTCTTGACGGTATTGATTGCGCAGAGCCCAACTGTAGCAGGCATTGCTTTTGCCATCGGTTTCAAAAGGCGTTGCGCCGGTACATCCAGCGCCGGTTAATGTCAGCTGTTGTAGAAGTGGGAACAGCACTTGACGGGGAGGCAGGGAGACTAAGCAATCTCTTTCATGTTACCAGATGGGATGGTGTCAGCACTAACGCCTCACCTGGCTCCTTAACAACATACGTAAGCGTGCCCGGACGCGAGTTTATCGTTGCCTCCACGTCTGCCGAAACTGTAGTGAGCTCCTCAAAGGGCAGGCTTTGATGCCCAAGAACTTTTTGAAACGATACCTTCACGGACTTAACCATTCACTCCCACGAACCTCCCCACCAAGCTGCTTTTTCTATTATGAATTTCCACGTGATGCCCTCAGAGCCGCAGTAGGCTTAGGCGTCCCCACTGCGAAGAATTTTCCGGAGGCTTTGAATTTGTTTTCATGCTTTCTCGAACGTCGAAGCGTTATCGCTGTAAATTGTTTGCGGCAGACCCCTGCGTGCCACAAATTATCGGAGGGCCAACAGAGAACATTCAGTTGAAAGGGTAGAAACTAACTTTAAGTGCACTGCTCTCGTTGTTGCGCATGTGAACAAGGCGATGTAACTCCTTGTGTTTGACGTTTCACTTTGGTGAAGCATTCACTGCCAAAGGTTTCCTCGGTGTTTAACCATTCTGCGTAGTTGATGTGCTTGGCACGTGTGAGGTCGGGACATGTGTCTCGAGTTAGAGTTACCAATATGGGTTCGGTGTGTAGGGTCTGTACGAATAGTGAGGCCCAGGATGGAAATAAGCTCCGCCAACGCTCTTTCAAGCTGATCCTCCTTACAGTAACCCCACTGAGGACTAGGGGCGTTAAAGTGGCCTACAATGATTAGTGGCTGCCTGCCTGCCGTGGTAAATACATCAGCGTAAGTTTTAAGCAGTTTCGGAGAACTGTAGGTGTTTAGGATGTGTACTGATGGGTCCTGCTCCCGAAGCGGGAGGAGAGTCACCATAACATAGGAGTAAAGCCGATCGCAGTCGAGATCGACCAGGTTTCTGGTAGGAATTCTGTCCACGCTGTTCTGGCTGTGCTGTTTGAGCATCCCTTTGCAACATGGTATAATTTGTAAGGACAGCGTGCTCGCCCCACTCCTGAAGGGCCACTGCCATGGGCAAATGCGTATAATTTCGAAGTGGAGCCGCAGAGCAGCCTGCTTAGTGCGTGCCGTAAATCCAAGACAATTCCACTGTAAGATTGTAAAAAGGTCCAAATTTGCACGGAGGTGGCACGATCTAGAGCCGTTCATTGCCCGCCATCAAAAGAACTAAGCGTATGGGTCGACACTGCGAGGGCCTGGTGGGCCATAGAGCCTTCGCTGCTCGATCCTGTGCTCGCTTACGAGGTCGCAGTCGAACTTCCATAGTGTCCTTCTACTTCGGCTACCTGGGAATGAGGTCGGCGCGCTTGATATTGAGACAGCCGCCTAAGCTTAGGACGGCGAATCCGAACAAAGAGTTGAGTCATCATGCCCGGAATGCGGTAAAAAACGGTTTGGAGGGGAGCAGCCAATCCATGCTTGACCGTGGTCACTATGGACGCCATCTGGGCCTCTAAGCCAATGAGGTGCGCCTCAAACGGTGCGAGATGCACCGCGGTGTCCGTGCTGTCTTCCTGCGCTATGTGTGTCGGATTAGGCGAGGACGAGCGGTTTGCAAAAGCCTCCGCCTGTGTTAAAGAGGCACCCTAGGCCTACAACCTGCGGAATTCCATTTGGTCCCGCATGGTAGCGAAAGGGGTTGGCGGTTTGGGTTGGGAAATCTCCGAGGGTGTGAGTGGAGAGGCTCCTTCACCCGAGCAACTCACCTGAGATCCTTGTCTGATGCGGTCGGCCAACGATGAACATCCCTGGGCTGCGGGTTTGAGTACTTGCAACGACGGTTTTGGTTTGGGTGGGGTGAGCAAAGGCTGCCTTGCTGTAGACCTCCTGGCTTGAGATTCGTCCATAGTTATGCATCGCAGTGGAAGCCCCAGAGCTACCGCGCCAGGGAGCAGGGGCGGGACAGGGGGGCTGCGGGCTGCGGGGGCTGCGGTGACGACCGGGAAACCAATTTTCGTCGGCACTGACGTCTTCTCTTCTTCCAGCTGGCTTGACCATGCGAAGGAGGAGGGGGCGGCTTAAATGGCAGCGCCTTGTAGCGTTCTTTACAGCACCGATCTCCGGTGATGTGGGATCCGGCACAGAGAGCACACCTGTGCGTACACTCATGAGAAGCACGGACGCCATCTGTGGGCGGCACCGCCTTTCCGCAGGTGCCACAAATTCTGGTTTCGGGCTGGGACAGGCGTAAGGTAGATGTCAAATGGAGCCACACTAAGTGCAGGCTGGAATAATTTTTTTGTATGGCTGCAGAGGTTTGAGCAGGACGTCGTAAGCAACGTATTTCGGCTTCACCTTGCCGAAAAAAATGGAAGCATATCCACGGAGTGAATGATGGAGAATGGGGCGAAGCATCCGTCCGTCCATTCGTTCTTGCTTCCGTCCGTCTATGCGTACGTCTCTTCGTGCGTCCGCGCGTCCATCTGCGCATC